CGGCATGGTGGGAGGGGGGTTTGGCGTGGTGTCGGGCCTAGGAAAGACTGCCCGGGTGGCTGCGGCAGCTGGAAAGCCTTGGGAGGGGCTGAAGTCGGGGAGATAAAGCTGTTTAGAATTGAGTAACTCGGAGGAAGCCAGACTAGGAGTGGGGAAGCACGTAAAAGTTGGCTTCTGTCTAGATGTTATTGGCCTGGCATTGAGTTATAAAGAACCTGAAATAATTTATAGTGTAGTTGGGGGAGGTACTGGCAGTATACAAAAAATATTTTAACTGTGTTATGCTCTTCTGCAGGAAGGGGTAGAGTATGTTAAAAATACAAAAGAAAGTGAGGACATGGCGGAGCTACAGGTTGTCAAAGGAAAATTTAGGCTGTGGATAGCATCCCAAATTAATACAGTTTTGGAGATCGAGCTTTGCGTGGTCTTGACAGCATCAAATGTAAAGAAATAAGAAGGTGTTACCTGCATGGAGAAATCTTTTTGGGGCAGAGTTGGCTCGGGAACGGGCAGAATGCCAGTCCAAATGTCTAAACTGTAACTTACCAGGAATGCTGTCATTTTAGCAAATCACAGCTTTTTAAATGAAGAGTGGAAAACAAATGTTACTTGTTGAGATTAGTGACATAAATTTCCGACTATAGTAGAAGACACATTTGTCACTAAGCAGGTACTGAAATAACAGAAGAGGCTACTGTTTTAGTACTTTGGTTTCAGTGAGTTTCAAAAACATATAAAAAGCATTGCTTACAGAAGATAACTTTAGCACAGTTGATTGTATGTTTATTCAGTCTAAATTAAATGAAAGATAAAAAGTTGTAAAGTAGCAGGCAGCTGTTAAGTATCAGGGCAGCAAAACTGTGGTTAGGTTTGACACGGACAGAAGAACATTGTTGGATCTTATGCATTTGGTGAAGTGATGGTAGGATGTCACACCTGTGAGAACAGAGGACTGGGTGTTATGGTGTGAAAGCCCCTTGAGTCCAATTTTTCTAACTAGGACAGTTTCAGTTGTGGGTTTCTGTTTATGTGTCTGTGATTAAAAACTCTCAAGCTTCTAAAAACTGAGATAAAACCAGGAGGGAAGGAAGTAAAGTTAATAAATGAACTCTCTTTAACTGGATTTTTTTCTTTCAAAACAAACAAGCAAACAAAAAAAACCCCATAAGAGTTCATATATGTACTTTCAGGAGCTAGGCAATCCTTTGGATTTTTGGGTTTTATTTTGTTGTTTTTTTCTGTGTTTTTTTAAAATGTTTTTTCTCCTTTCTTCTGCTTTGTGAAAGACTCTCTCCACCCACACAAGGATAGCTAATTGCTTTGTCCTTTCTGTTCTCCAGTGTGTATAAACAAACTGAAAGTATTATTATCATAGCTATAAGGAAAAGTATGGTTAATATAGCATAATGGGATTTGAAGTGATTTAGCTGTTGATCTCTGATGCAGATCCTCAGACAAAATACAGCACCAGGTAAAATAGTTTATTCTAAGTGCCACCTTGAAGTGCACTTCTATTCCACTTCTGTTTGATGCGTGTCTGGATGAGAAGGTATTTTATATGGATATAGGCCCTTCATAAACAGATGTATGACACTCAGAATAACTCATTGCATGCACAATAAAAACATACCTAAGGATGTCATGGCAGTTTATTATCTGAGGAATAAATGCGCAAGCCAATAAATAAATGAGTTATTTCCGAGACCTGGGATGGGTGGCTATAAATAGGAAATGTCAGTTCTGCAGTTGTCAAATGGCAACACCAGTGCTAATATAATGATGCTGAGTGACTTAGGAAAGAGCTTGCTGCTAAGTTGGTTTTCTTGCGGGGTGGAGGGAGGTTTGTTGTTGTGGTTTTTTTTTTAAACATCTTCCGAGACTAGTGAAAGATCCTGTAGGAAGCTTTGTATCATCTAAAATACTCTCTTGGTTTTCTTACTGAAGGTCCTGTCTGGTTGTGGTGTCTACGATGGCACAGAAATCCATGAGGCCTCAGCGTAAGTTGCTTTATGCTCCAAAAAAGTCTCCTTTATGTTACAGCTGTCTGTTGAATTCAGTTTTGCTCTCTCTGGCCATCAAACTTGCCCTGAGAGATGTATGATGAAGCTTCACAGTTTTTGCACAGCGTAACTGGGAGCTCAGGCTGCATTCTTGCAGTACTCAGTGATTGTCCAAACATGCAGCACAGTGCATGTGACGCCAGAGCAGTGAGTTTGAGAGAGACTGTCTTTCATTCAGAAACACAAATTCAGAGTTCCAGAATCAATCTCAAGAGAGTTAAGTAAAGACTTCATTTCATAATCACTTTGAGTTTCTGTTCCTGGAGCTAAATCTAACACTAGAATTCTTAATACTCAAGTTGAATTATTAACTCTTAGTGTTAATTGCTAAGAGATGTACCTAGACCTAGATTAAATTAAGATATAGGTACGTTAATTGTAGGACTCTTCTATAACATCTGGGGCCTTGCAATGCAAAAGGAAGTTTTTATTGTTCCTGGTTGCCTGCGTAAGAGCACTGAACAAAGTGACTTGTCTTTAGCTTACCTGACCCTGCCTCCAAACAGGCTTTCTGTTCTGCTTTGCACTTTGGTGTTACATACAGGAATTTTGCTGCCGTGTGCTCAGTGTGCTTTGGTAGGATGTGTATTTTTCCTCTTCTTTCAAAATCAGGTGGCGGAATATTTTTAGCAAGATTTAGGGGCCAGATAAAGCCTCTCTTATAAGGTTTTCATCGCATTTTGTCTCTTGTTTTTGTAGCATACTGGTACACCTTAGTCGTGGAGGAGCTGAGGTTCAGATGTATGCTCCGGATGTTCCTCAGATGCATGTTGTTGACCACAGTAAAGGGCAACCAGCTGAAGCTGAGTCAAGGTAAAGTCTGTGTTTAATGTGTTTTCCATGACTGCTGAGCCTCATTCCCTTAGGCATTCTTCAGACATAGCAGCATGTAAGTGCACTTGCAGCATTTTGCTGACTGGCTTTAGTAGCTTTATGCTACCTAGTATTTTGATTGGAGAGAAAATATTAAATTAATTTTCTGGAGTTGATTATATACAGTCTGTTAATGCCTATGTTTCCTAGTAGTAGTATTTCAGAAGCATCAATGCCTTCAGTTATTAAGTGCTGCTGTTCTTCTTTCTTCTTCCCTTCCTCCCCTTCCTCTGCCAAAATTTTCTTTATGCTCTTCTGTGCAGAAACGGTTAATTAATCTCATTGTTTTATTTTTGGTTCTTCAAGGAATGTTTTAGTGGAATCGGCAAGGATTGCTCGTGGTAAAATTGCAAGCCTGGCTAAGCTTACTACAGCAGACCATGATGCTGTGATATTCCCTGGTGGATTTGGAGCTGCTAAAAACTTGTGAGTGGCAGCTAAGCATTAAACTCCACAACTAAATAGTCATGATCAACTAACTATTCATCATCAACTGATTCTCACAATAAAATCGGGAAGCAGTGAATGGCCTTACTACATGTGTTACCACTACTTCATAAGGAAAACTTTCAACATGTTGGAGTTAAGTTGTGCTGTTTGTGATGGTTTCCAGTCCTAATTCTTATTGTATTGGCATTGTCGCGTTTTAAATTTTCCGAACAATGTTGTCGAGAGTTCTGGAGTTTAGATAATGCACAAGAAGTCCTTTTTCCCCCACCCTCGTGGTGATTCTTGTTGGGCCTGACTGAGGGAAGTGAAGATAAAACTTCAATAGTTTCAGATGTTCGTAGTGTTATTATTGAGTTTCTTCATGTCTGCCTACCAAAAAGTCCCCTCTTGCATTAGTAATGATAAAACAACAGCTAGCTCAAAAAAAAGAGGACGGAAAAAAGTGTTAGCCATGTGGAATACTCCTTATCTTGTTATTGACTTTCCATTTTGATGGCTTTGAGACACAACGTTATCTCCCTTTTCTTAGGTGTTTTTCTTCTTTGAAAATGTTATTGTTCCACTTCTCAATGATCCTAGAGAGCTCATTTTGGTAGTTCTTATTTCTAGATGTTTATATCAAGTAAGGAACTTTCTGACATACTAAAGCCTTAGAAGTGAGTCATTTTGGTTAAAGCATTGATGATCAACTCCAGGCTTTTTCAGCCACCTTTTAGAAGCTATTAAATTTGTGATGACCCTTGAGAGCCAGTCTCAGGGCAGACAGGCTTTTAAGTGTATTTGTGAGTGTATACTGAGGTATGTATAAAGTTTCTTGTTGTGGCAGATCTACGTTTGCTGTTGATGGGAAAGATTGCAAGGTGAATACAGAAGTTGAGCGTGTCTTGAAAGACTTCCACAAAGCAGGCAAACCTATTGGGTACGTATGTTAGTTGGAGGGGTATTCGTGTGATAGTACGGGGGCATGGAGACAACGTACGTTTTGTTGAAATGTGCGGCTGTTATTGTTGAAACCAGAAAAAGCGTGTTCCATTTTTTATCAGCAGTAGCTTATTTTTTTAAATGTCTTTTTCAAGATGCGTATGCGTGTAGGTGTTTGACAAAGAAGAAGCTAAGAAAATGCTGAGTGGAAGTTGCCTTGTGATGTCTTTCAGATTTGTAAGACCGTGTCCATTTGAATCTTTTCCATTATGACCAAGTCTGGAAATAGAGTGCTGTTGTAGAATCACTCTTATAATTCATTTTGTTGCAGTCTTTGCTGCATTTCACCAGTGTTGGCAGCAAAGGTTCTCTCTGGTGCTGAAGTAACTGTGGGCCATGAAGAAGAGGAAGGTGGCAAGTGGCCTTATGCTGGAACGGCAGGAGCCATTAAAGAACTGGGAGCAAAGCATTGTGTGAAAGAAGTAACTATATCCTTTCCTGTTAATTTCCATGTTGACGGTTTAGTAATGTGTCCTTAAACTAATGAATACATGCAGGATCTGTGCTTTTGCACTTACAGTTTAGTGGGAATACACAGTGTGTAGCAGATAGCATGTGATACAGTGCATGATTAGAAACATGGTCTTCTGTACACAGCTGTGTAGTTAGAAGTTGTTCTCAGTCGTTGCCATAGAACTCCCTTGGACACCCAATAATGCAGTAAATGCCAACTGAATTTGCATGTAAAACTGGCATGAGTTACAACTGGTCAGTTCTCTTTGAGATTATTTTATTTTCCTGAAGGCTAATACTATAATCAAACTGTACTCAGAGACATTTTATTACAGTCAGTAAATTTTGTTGGTTCTCTTGTGTTTCGGAGCATTCCCACAGATTGCTCTTGCAGTGTTTGTATTTCTGACAAAAGTAGGTTCTAGAATCTTGGATTACAGGTTGCAGATGTCTTTACAGATGGGTGGTATAATATATTTGGAGGTGTTTTTAATAGAATAGTGGAGTTGTGAGGTTTTGTCAGTGATGGTTTATTTTGCAGACAGCATCTTGAAGTGAACCTAGGCTGTGTTTTCCTTAACTCCCTTTTACGAAGCTCATGTGGATACAAAAAACAAGGTGGTGACTACCCCAGCATTTATGTGTGAAACAGAATTACATAAGATCTTTGATGGCATTGGGGCCATGGTAAAGAATGTGCTAAAATTAACTGGCAAATAAAAATCAGAAATGTTTAAATTTAGGGTGTATTATCAAATACAATATGGACCAATGGAAACATTTTCACCTGCTTGTCCTGTTCACGCTCTAGTGAATGCTGGTATGAAGCTGATTGATTCCCAGCTGCAGGGTTTTCCATGCCCTTTCTGAGAGAAGGGCCTGCAGAAGGACTTACGGAGTACAAGGAGTATGGCCTGAGACACTGAGCATTTTCTTGAGCTTTTTCAGCTGGAGAGAGTTGTATAAATGCATTCTGAAACCAATCCTCCTGATGCACCAGTGTCAAATCATTTATTTCTGTGGGGGCAAAAAGACTGAAGGCCCTTTCAGAAGCTGACAGCAGATGCGTTGCAGGGACACAGCAGATGCAGTAGCGGTACATCTACTGGATGAGGAATGGGAGTAAAGTGAATTTAGTGCGTGATTCAAGGTTTATGTGCTCAGGCCTGTATCTGTGAATTAAAAGCTGGGATCAGCTGTCAAGGGAATAGAGATCTTCCACATCTTAATTTAGCTTGGTGTTAATTAAAAGATTAATGTTTTGGTTTTCCATTTCAAAGAATCTTGTTTTCACAAAGGAGCCATTCTGAATATCAATCAGCAGCAGGATACATCTTAACTGCCACAACGCTAGCACTTTGAAAAATTCATCCATTGGCCCAATATTGCTTAAAGGGTCTTGAAATGAAGGAGAAAATATCCGCTGATGTGATGCACAATTTTTAAGGATAATATCCGTATTAAAGCGGTTGCATGACTAGTAGTGGATGGAAAAAACAATCTCAAATTATCCTCGCTTTCCCTGCTTTAGGGTAATAAAGCTTTCTCCAAAGAAACATTATTGAATGTCTGGAATAATGATGTATAAATAAATTAATTTCTGCCTTTATCTCATCTTTGTCCTTTTGTATTTGTTTGACAGTTGCCTTTGATAATTTACACTGTTTGATACATTCTAGCAGTTTTTCTGCTTTTCAGTTCTCTTTGCATCTTTGAGACATTTTTCTGATACAAAATCCAGCAGAATTTCCTTCCCCCTTCCAAGTTAT